GGGGGGGGGGGGGTAATGCTGGAGCTGAGAGGCTCTGGGGGCCTCCTGGCCCCTGTGCCCACCTCAGTGCCAGGAGCACTGGCAGGGCGCAGGGGCTCCTGTGCTGCCTGCAGGTAGACACTCAGGCTGTCAGGGCAGGGGCCAAGGATTTGGGTCCTGCAGAGCCCAGGCTGTAATGAGGTGAAGAACATCCCTGTGAGTGGTCCCGGCACCCCGGGACCTTCCCCGAGGAGCCTGGGGAAGGTGTGGTAGAAGTAAGCAATTCAGATGTCTCTCACTGCAGGAGGAAGCTGGTTATGTGGGACAGGTATTCTGACAGGTGATTCCTGTGTGACACCCAAGAGTGGTACAGTGTGCTCTGAGTGACTCTGAATGGGAGTAGTGCAGGAAAAAAAGGCATATTTTTCCCTTTCAGTCCCAGGTCAAGCTACCCAGGCTCGTAGTTTTATAATTTTTCACTCGTCTCCATCCACTTGCTACTGGATTTGGAAATTCAGCTCCCAGTTCAGAAAACTAGATTAAGCCTACCATAATACCCATGCAGTGCTAGCATAAGAGTCTGTAATTTTCTCACCTGCTCATCCAGTCTGTGAACTGCAGCCATTTCTTATATTCCTGAATTGCTCAAAACGTTCATGTGGGCAGACGTGCTGATCGATGCACATATTTGCCAGAGAAGTTAATGAAAAATCCCAGCTGTCTGGGCTCAGCTAGGAGAGTTTCTCAGAAGAGGCCGTAATTCGACCAAATGTGAGAATCCTGCCTAACTGGGATGTGTTTACTTTGCTTTCGTTTCTAATTGGACATAGCAAATAAATGTTAAGGCAAATTAAATTCTGTATTTTGCAATGAAGCTGTGTAATCCTGTGTTGGTTTTTTTTTTTTTATTTGGTTAGGTTTCATCCAAGGTAGTTTTCTACCTGCTATGCAGGATAAAGAGATTAGAGAAACTGCACTTTCTAATCCTAGGAAGAGAATTAAAATGTCTGAACTGTGCTTCTGGCTGTAGTGCCGGTTCTTGGAAGGGCAGTCTCCTCAGCCGGGAAACGGAGGGATATAGGACATAATAACTATGTAAATAATAAGTATGCTTGTTAGTCCGTAGGATTGTTTGTCATGTGTAGCGCTTGGTTTTTGACAGATTCCTGCTACATTATGTCCGGAGACAGCGACTGCACCAGGACAAGTCCATCAGCGGGGACTCCATCGGACAACGAGTTCTTGCCAGGTCGGCCAAAGTATGTTTGCTCGCTGTCTCCTGAGCTCATTACCAAAGCCCGGGAAGAGCTCCAAGAGAAACCTGAATGGAGGCTCCGTGATGTGCAGGCACTCCGAGATATGGTGTGCAAAGACTATCCCTCCCTGGGGACCTGCCTGGACGATGCTTTTTTGCTAAGATTCCTCAGAGCCAGGAAATTTGATTATGATAGAGCACTTCAGCTTCTGGTGAACTACCACACCTGTAGGAGGAGCTGGCCTGAGGTCTTCAATAACTTGAAGCCGTCCGCAATAAAGCCTGTCCTAGAGTCTGGTTTTGTCACTGTGCTGCCTCGTCTGGACCCAGAGGGACGCCATGTCGTCTGCATCCGTCCAGGTACTGAAACGCATGAATGTCTTTGTTCTCTGTCTTCGAGGTGTGTCTGGGCCAAAAATCTGTTTCCTGCTCTCCTGTGAACAGTGGTTACCTACACAGAGTACGTGGGTTCTCTTTGAAATTTGAAAAGCTAACTTGTGAAGGGACATGTTTGTCGTTAGCCAACGTTATACCAGTTCCTTCTCCTGTGTCAGCAATACTTGCAGTTATGTCAAAATGAAAATGCAGTGAGGTGGGTTGATGAAATATTAGGTGATGCAAGAAAAAGTAATGTGTAGTAACTCAAACTGAAACAGGGCTGCTGACCTACAGTTAGGAGCTTGTAATTTGTTTTGACAATAAATGGAGAGAGGAGCCTATGGCTTTGACTCCCCTGTACACAATCGGAGCCTTCCGTGTGCTTTTGGTGCTGCCAGGCTTGCTGTAAATTTGTCTTCATTCATTCTCTTCTTTTCCATTTACCTGCTTTCTTTCTGAGCTGAAACTGCTTCTAATAAGCTGTGCTGGGTGGAGAACGGGGTTCTTAAAACCATTGCCTTTGCTCCCTGAAGTAAACACGAGTTGCCATTTTATCTCTTGCTTAAGAAAGGCTGCTCTGAACTAGGACTGTGGCTATTAAAGACTAACTTTTAAGAGTCCAGGAAAATAGAAAATCAGTTTTTGGAATGTGTATTGTTAGCTTATATTTACTCTCCGACTTACCATCCATGTCTTGTAACCTCAGACAGATGGACACCCAGTAATTATCCGATTACTGAGAACATTCGTGCCATATACTTAACGTTAGAAAAACTCATTCAGTCCGAAGAGACCCAGGTGAATGGAATTGTAATCCTGGCAGACTACAAAGGAGTCAGCTTATCTAAGGCGTCTCATTTTGGTCCTTTTGTAGCCAAAAAAGTGATTGGAATTCTTCAGGTAAGACCTGAACTGGTGGGAAAATAAGCTTGTGCATTGTAAATGACTGCTTCTGTGTCTAGAGTTCTTGACTATGTCACCAGAAACTTAAGCGTCTTGGCTTTTACTAGCAGAGTTAAAACATGTCTCTGCCCAGCCAGTTTCTCACACCCTTGCCAACTTACCTCACTTGCCCTTTTTTGACTTTTGCATCCCTAAAACTAAACTTGCATTAGAAACGCAAACTTTGAGTTGGAACAGAAAAAAGAAGTTCCACTAGGTAGTGGCAAGGAAGAGAGTGAGCAGTGAATTACAGTTAGAGAGAAGACACCGTTTTTCCTGAATGCTGAGGAGTGGCTCATTATTTAAATGGTTCCTGTCAGCTGAGATGGAGCTGACCGCTGGGCAAGTGCAAGTTCAAGTACTGCTGCAAGAATTTTGCAGAGAGGACTTTTGAATGGGTGCGATTTGAGGAGGATTTCCATCCACTCCCTGAAGGAAGAGAGGCTTCTTCAGCATAGGAGGCAGCAAAAGAGACAGTAAGAAAAAGGATCTCCGACTAGATGTTTGGAAGGAAAATGATGGAGAGCAAGTTAGAGCAAGGGTGTAAGCACAAGTGGAGTTGTACAAAACAGGGAGGTGAAAGGAGCGAGGAGTAACCTGGCCAAGTTGCAGGAAGGTCTGATGATTTTACGTGATGTTCTACCATGCTATCTGGAGGAGTGAGATGAGGAAGACTTCTCTTGAATGGGTTCGTTTCCCCATTACTTTTATTCTGGCCTGAGCTGGTTATGTTCTTTGTTGTATCTGTGGGGGGAGAAGGAAGGGTAGGGGGAATCAGGGGATTTTTAAGGAAATGAGACTAGTGAGTTTATGAATGCCTACGTAAGAACTCACTCCTTTAAATTATGACCTAAATGTGTCATTTAACTGTCTGAGCCCATATTTAATTTGCACAAATAAAGTGATGAGTGTCCTGCTGTTATTAGTGGAAGCTATTCACAAAACAAAAGCTGAACTTGTCAAAGGACATAAAGGTATGGGTGGTGTATAAATGTGTTGGATCAAACTTCCTGAGCTGCATCTCTTATAAAGGTGAGCTAATTCACCAACCTTCATAAGGAGAAAAATACTCCTGCAGTGCATGTTATCTGCTCTCCACTCCAAGCATTGACTGCTTGCTTTGTGTATGTAGAGCTGGTTATAAGGGAAAGAAACTTCACTGTGGCACGTGAGACCTTAATTGCTGATCATGAGCTTTTGCCTTGGAAAAATGATTCTGCAAATGAATTTCTCCAGCAGAAATCCCATAACTAACTGTTTTAAATTGTCTTCTATAGGAGACACTGTGTGTTCTGTTGGCAGCACAGCCTGGTTGTCTTTTGCAGTTAGCATGACAGAATAGTTGGAATGGCAGAAAAATAGTGATACTGGAATTCTTCCTTATATAAAAACACATTTTAGAGTATCTTGGGCACCAAGTCTTGTAGTTGGACACACCGTTACAACCAGCCTGCTCTGGCTCTGAGCGTGGTGCACCCCTCAGAAGCTAGGGTCATCACTTTGTAACTGCATCCTTATCAGGCTTGGGAATACCCGAAGGACGGTGATTACCCAAGTGTCTTCATCAGGGGAGATGGAGAACAGCATAAGAAATGTAGATTTACTGACAGTAGTATGTTTCTCGATGCAAGGTTTTCTTGTCTCTTGACTTTATTTTTATGCTCACAGATCTCATCCTAAGACTATTCCCTCTTACAAGGTGCATTTCTGTTGCCATATTGGTTTATGTTGTTACCTCAGATGAAAGTTTGGGAGCCAGTGGGTTGTGCTGGCAGTCAGTCTCAGGAGATTTTAAAAAGAGAAAGATGGCAAATGTTTTTTAAACTGCATTATAAAAATCTTCTTTACCCTTCAGGATGGATTCCCCATTCGAATAAAAGCTGTTAACATAATAAATGAGCCTCGTATATTCAAAGGCATTTTTGCAATCATCAAGCCTTTTCTGAAGGAAAAGATAGCAAACCGGGTAAGGATTTGTGTCATTTTAACATTAATGTTTGTAAGTACCTTGCTTGGCCGCTGCAAGTAAGAATTGTTGAAAAACCTCACAGCTAGAAAAATGTTGGTGCCATTTACTTGATCTAACTGGTCCTTTCTGCTTTAATTTTTAAAAATATGCCTGTTGGGACCAATTCTTCATGAGAGAAAAGCTTTGAGGAATTTAATATTGGCATAACATTAGCATGGATCTTTAGTACATATGCTATGTATTCAGGACACTAATTCCATCCCTGGGGTTGGATTATCTTGGCAAGTAACACTTTGTTTATGAGGTGGTGTCGCAGGAAATCTGTGTTGCTCCTTCCTTGCTCTTCTTCCTTATGCAAGTGTCCTGCATGGCACTAATATTCTCGCCATAGGACTGGATGTAGTTGCAAAGGATGATGCTTTTTTCCACCTTTTCCACAAGGTTAAGTACTTCCAATCCCATGAATGAACCTGGGGACAAGTTGAATTTTGAACCTCTGCACAGACTAGGAAATGTCAAGTCTCTCTTGCTGGGATTTAAGCTGCACTAGGCTTGGATCGTCTCCAGGCTTCTCTCACTAGTGTGTCTAGCTGCACCTGCCCAATGTTGTATGCTGCCACTTGCCCATAATGACATCACTTCTAAAGTTTGCTCTTTAGCTCAAAATAAGCTTGTTAGCTGATTGTTTCAGTAACTTGCTGTAAAGTGTTTGATATGCACTATTAAAGCTCTCTTTTGCTTTCTTCAGTTTTTTCTCCATGGCTGTGATCTCAATTCCCTTCATCAAAACATTCCTCCAGTGATCCTTCCTGAAGAGTATGGTGGTACTTCAGGGAAGCTGGACATCTCCGCATGGAATGAGCTGCTGCTAGCCTCTGAAGAGGACTTTCTGCATGATTTCTCACAGCTGGTTCTCCCGTGTGACAGCTCTCCCCATGACATGCTAGTGAGTGGGGATGCTGATGAAAAGCAATGTGATGATTCTCTGCGAGGCATGAAACCTCAGCTCTATTACTGTTATTAACAAACCAGTGAAGGGAAGTTTTCCAGCACCGTTAAGATCTGTTCTGCTAGGTGATGATGTGAACTCTGCCTTACTCCTAAACCTGCAGTTTAGGAACAGACTGCTGAGGCACTTTACACTGTAGAACCAAAGGAAGCTGAAGAGGGCACAACGGGGGCAGGGCAGAGTTCGGGGAGGATAAAGGCAAAGAGCACAAGTTATGTAGAATACTTGAGGCTCATCAGCCTCTGTGTGAATGATGCCTATTCTTTCTAATGATAAAAAAAATACATTGCAGGATGGTAAGCTTGATTGATAGTATCTTATCCCCTCCCTGCCCAGGTGAAAAGTGACAATGATGATTTACTAGTTTTGTGACCATCCCTTCCCCTTCCGAAAACACCAGTAATCCAAGACAAGAAAATTGCTTTTGAACCCTGCAAAATGTAGTTCTGTCAGTGAAGATTGCTTGAAACCATAAAAGTCAAACTTGGCCTGTCCTCTGTCACTTGGTTCAGACTGTGAGTTGGCATTTCTGAAATATCTCAATGAATATTTGGCTTAAATTAATACAGAGCAAAACTCTCTTATCCATGAATATCAGTATGGGGATCATCTCTGAAACTGCCTCACAGTAGGAAGAACTATAACTGGTGGATTAACTACTACAACATCTATACTAAGGCTTATTATAAACAGATGCAATCTTCGTTTTCAGAAAACAGGAAGTTTTTCAGATCAGGTACTAAGCCTTGTGATTGGATACAGCTTCAAATAATGAGGTTCAGGACCAAATAAGAAAAATGTATGTCAGCCACCTTCCCACATTATCAGTTGTTCTCTTCTTCAGCTGGTTGTGAGGAGGAATTCGGTAAGTAACTCTTACAACAGAATTTGTAAGGAGGCTTTGTAGCAGTTGGCATATGATGTATAGAAGGCAATACTTCATGTAAGACAGCAAGGTGCTTCTTTAGCTTGTTACTTTGGGCAGAATTTGAGTTTAAGTCTGTGAAACCAAATGCAGACAGGCTATTTGAAAGCACATTCTTAAATTTCCTGGTATTGTAGCATTTTGTTCACTGTGCTTGTTGGCTCTTTTGTGAAAAGTTACAACTTTATTTTCAACTCTGTTGACCTCTTTTGTCTTTGGTTGTCATGTTCCTGTATGAGGTTAGACTTTAATCATCTCTAATATTTACCTGTAGCTTGTATGCCTGTGTTTCTAGGTCTTTGTCTAGAGACAGAACTAAGACTCCGATGTCAAATCAGGGTAAGATACCTATGTCTAAATAAGCTGTTCCCACTCCCCAAGTTCAATCTGTTTAATGGTCTTGAATTAGAACTTAACTGTCAGCATACTGTTGCACATGTTTTTCTGCACTATAATAGTGTGGAGATGGGAAACCTCACTAGGACCAGGAAAGCACACCCAATTACTTCAAGGTGAAATACTTCACTCTTTGGTGACAAAGAACATCCCTTCTAACTGGAGACTTCTCTAGAGCACTTTCTCTGGATGAAATCTTTATTTAGTGCCAAGTGTGATTATAGGTACCAGTTATGTTTATGTAAATAGAAAACTACAGCATCTTGAGGATTTCAGACATTCATTTTTCAAAGTGCCAAACTCTGTTTTGAACGTCTGCCTTCCTCTCGATCCCCCTACAGCATGATTGCACTGCCAAAAAAGACTCCTCTTCCACGTAATGACTTCTTGATCTGGCAGCAGACCTCATCCTGGAACTAGGGGGCAGCAAACGCCATACTTGTTGTCCAAGCATTTTAAAAAGAAACTGGGTATTGAAAAGGGGTAAACCACCATGAAGCTTTTTTCTGGGTGGTAATTCAGAATTTGTGGGAGCAGGGAACTCATCCCTTGAACTGTTTTAGTATAAAGGTGGGAAGAGATTAATTTCCCTCACTGAAAGCATCCGATTTTTTCCTACCTTTATAAGTCAATTCTTGCTCTTCGTTGACAGCTGTTACCTTTAGTGCAGGAAAAAACCCATACCATTTTCAGCTACTTAAAGTAAGGTAAAAGAGTACTGCTAGCAACTTCCTCCTCATTTGTGACCAGAATGTGCTGCATGTTTTGCAGACTAATTCAGTTCTTTGTGCCACCTAGCAAGACAGTAGCACACAGCACCAGGACTTAGAAAGGTAAGTGGCTGCCCATGCTGTTTAACTGCCGGAACGTAGAGACTGGTGTTTATGTTGTTTTAGTGCCTCTTAATTCCAGCCACAATGTACAATTTAAAAAAAAAAAGTAGGATGGACCATTTTTCCTAGAGGTGAAGGCATGACTGGTATTTGATACTCTTTCCTTAGTTGTGCTGCAGGGTTTGCAGTGGTGGTATTTTGATAGTTAACCTGTAAGAACAGCTACTTTGATCCCCTTATGTAACTACTAGAGAGGGAGGTTGAATAGTCAAAATTCAATTCAGTGTCCTTCAAATAAAAAAAAAAATCTAGTGGTGTTCAGCAGAAGGCTGAGGAACCTCTACAGAAACCAAACCCTTTTCAGGCTTTTGTATTCTCTTGCATGCCTTAAATAGTAGGCAAACTAGATCCATCTCTCCCTCCCCTTTTCTCCTCTCCTCACAGAGAAACTAAGAATAAAGCATATGATTTAAACATAATAATAAGGCTACATTATCAATGCTGAAAATAGCCCGTGTTATGCCTCCAGAAATTCTTTTTCCTAAAGCTGGCTGCTGGGCAGTTGTCAGGATGCTTGAACTAAGCCAGGCTTACTTTTGTCAAGCATCTAACTGTTACTCCTAATTTGCTCTTTCTTGGCTTTAGAACTGAGACAGAGAGAGTTGCAACTTTATTGAGCTGTATCTCTACCCTTTTTTTAGGTTTGTAACCAGCGCTTGGCTTGTCTTATAGAAAGCACGGCTGTCTTATATGCGCCTGACTACTGAGCTGAGAATGCTCTTTCAGCTTTAGCGCTTACTAGCAAAGAAATCAGTTTGTTCCCAAGATTTCTCATGTCAGCATCTGAAAAATAAACACTCGTTTTAAGTATAGAGTCTCCTTATCTGCAAAATAAGAGATAGGAAAAGCTTACAGGGAGTTTTTTGTTTGTTTTTTTTTTTTTTCATAGCACTGAAACTGATCTGTGCTTTTTTCCACTTGAAATAACTTTGTTTCCAGAGGTTATATGCCTTGCCCAGTACATAAGCCATCCCTGCCAAATCCAACACATAATAAGGAAAGATACTTGAACTGCATTGGGCAGCCATGGCTTTTGGCATTAAGCGGGACAAAAGGTAGCTGCATACTGTACATAAAAGTACTTGAATTTATACTCTTGCAAATGGGTGTTACAAACCCTGAGGTATTTTCAGGAACTGGGTGAAGTATTTTTTTGTTAAATCTCACTTTGGCATGAGTTAATCATAGTGTTATTCAAACTAATAATTTTGCCTTCTGTTGTATGTGGGCCTAGAGGTGTTGGGTGGTTAAGTGTACATCTTATTTTGACAAAATTTATTTTTATATTGCATTTTATAAAATGGAGTGGTCAAAATGTGTAATTTTATGATGCATGACTAGGTGATTAAACACACTGTAACAGCTGCTAATTTGATATTTTAAATGTTTGCCTTGTGTTGTCTTGGGGTGTCTTATTGTAAAAGTCAATAGTGACATATACTTAGTTCCACACTAAACACACTGTTGCAACAAACTATAATTGCCACAGCCTTACATTAGAAAAAGGTGTTGCTTCCTTCTGCAGAACTAAATTTTACTTGAACAAATCTGCCTGAGCAGCTTCAAGGAATAGGATCTGACATTCAGAGAATCCCGTGGAAGATGCTGTTTGTTTCAAAAGAAATATAATATGACTTACTATTTGCTGTATGGAGAAAACATCCAGCTGGACACTGCAGCAGCTAATTAGCATTTTAATCGTTGTATGTAGTATTTTGCATTGGAGAATAACTGCTGCTTCTTGACGCTTCTCAACAGAGCTGTGACAGTTTCAGTAGTTAGTCTGCTTTATTCAAATGAGTTTACAGTGCAAATGCCTTAGTGCCAATAATAATCATTTCATGTACGTTATTTTTATAAGCATATTAGACAACTGAAATCAATTAGAAGCTCTATTTTTCCCACCATAATCATAAAGTAGTTTAAGCTAGTCATACACTTACCACTCAATATTTGGCAAACGTACTAAAAAAGAAGTTACCATAGAAGTTGCCTCTTAGAAAGGGCAAGTTTGTTCTTAACAGGAATTAGAGTTAACCAATTTTTCAACCTCAAAGTTCTGCTCTTTTGGTGAGGAATAAAGGGGGGGGTTGCCACAACACAGGAAGGTTAAGTATAATTTAAATAAACTTTTGCTTTAAATAAACTTTTGCAGTGGAATGTAGAAATCAAGTAGCATGGCTTACACTTCCAGGAACTGAAGTGTCAGCATACTAGTGCATTATGCTGAATATAATTGTTCTTTAAAATATATTACTTCTTATTTAGCTAAATGTTACTTCTATTCAATAGAAAGGTTGTGGCTATTGGACAGAACAGATATTTTCTTTTGTGCTTTCCAGCACAGCTGTAGTGAATTTTAAAAATGCAGCAATAAGATAACACGACAATGTTAAAATAGAAAGATAACTGGTAATAATTTTGATTCTGCATCAAGCATTATGCATCACGTAACTTTCTATCCACTTGCATGTTCTTATTAACATAAGAAACAGTAACATACTATAACTAAAGCAATACATGAACATTTTGGCTTTCAGCAAAAAGTTCCCCACTTCTGTAAGCTCAGACAGGTGCAGTAATTTAACTGAAGTCCCTATTAGTAAGGACAAGAGGAGCCACTAGGGTCCAAAGATAGAGAAGGAGACAAACCCAGCTGGAGGTTATCTTCACCCACACGGCTGGCCACTTACTTGTCATTGTTTTAAAATCTGCATCAGGGCTAAAAAGTAAAGAAGCCAGTTAATAGATATAGAAGGCACCTTCCACTATTCCTTGCTATCTCTCATATGAATCTGAAGGTAGAACGATGATTTGGGACACTCCAATGCAAGAGCCTTTGTGGGAGGAGTGTGGTGAGACAACTAAACCAGGAATTTCCTGGTTGCATATGTTGATGTGCTACTCCTAAAGGAAATCTTTCAGTGAGCTATGCAATAGGCTCCTGATGGCTGCTGCTCTGTAAGCATATTTGCTAATTTATACAATACAGCAGTCTTGGGGAAAGCAGTTGTAAGCTGCAGCAACAAAGGATATGTCCAAGTGCTCCCAACAGATCTAGGAAATCATATCTCCATTTAAGTGGCATGTATGGCTGTCCCTGCACATCTTTCCCAGGGTGAAGAGCCAGTAACATTAGGCTGGCCTCTGACAAACTTCCCAGGAGGCCACCCTAAGCCAGTTTGGTATGTATCCTTCCTGCTGCTTGCGTATCTGAAGGACGGTCACCACACTTTCTGCCCTTGCAGCTGTGAAGCAGTCCACTAGGACTACAGCTGCTGATCTTGGCTTTTTCTACAGGTTTTTTACATCTCATTCAGCAACACAAAATTGAGAAGGCACAACTCCAGTGCAACTGGCATAGGGACAGCACTTTAACCAGCTGGGCAGGAGTAGCCTATAGGGCAGGAGTCTCCTGTCCACCTAGAAACACTGTCTGGTATGTACAACCCATCACTTTCTGTCTCGCTCTTACCTGTACCAGTTTGTGAGCGTCATCATGATGTAAAGGGAGGCAAGGAAGAGCATGAAGTGAAAGAAGGTGTAGCTGTACTGAACACCATCCTTCTCATTATCCATGACACGGCGCACTTCTCCTTCCTCTGCAGCCCCACTGCCTGTTCCCACAGCCTCCTCCAGAATGGCACTGTCACTCCCAGACAGTGTCAGCTTGTTCACCTGGCTGTTACTTGAAGAGCGAATGCTGCAGTGTAACCCAAAGATAGACGTGGTTAAGAACTCCCTCTTCAGTTAGCTATGTTTGCTAATAAACAAGCAGCAGACCACAATGGACGTCTGGGACTAGCAAATAACATTTTTCAAATCCATCTGGAAATACAAGGAAGCTCCTCGAAGAGCTCTGTTTTCATCCAAGCTTTTGTTAACATAGTTAAACAGTGTTCCTAGTCCGGATCCCATAACACATTTTGTTCTGTTATCTGAATTGGGCTAATAAAGCCTATCCTCATCCACAAAACAGAACGCAGTTTTATTAGCCATATTTGGGCTTAGGCCTGAGACCGCAGCTGGATATGAGTAAATACAGGTACATTTTTCACTGGACCCAGATTCAAACAAAAAAGCAGACAAATCCCTATTGTTTATCATTTGATAGCAGTGCAGATCCTACCTGGAATACAAGAGGCAAAGGACAAAGATAACCAATCCAACAACACTCTGGGCATCCCACCACTGCAGGGACTTGGGCGGAGCTGGAGTAGCAGGTACGACGGTGGTATTTGCCGGAACAACTGTGGGTGTAGCTATCTGGGTAATGATGTTCAGCAAACTTGGGTTACAGCTTCGTTCTGAGAGGGATTTCGAGGCAGATTAAAGAGAGATGAGCTTTGCCAGCATTTAGCTAAGAAAAGGTGACAGATAAGCTTGCAATTTTTCATTCCCTTTAACTGCTGATCTCTTCAATTCCCCAGAGGCAGCAATGACATGGAATATTTTTCCTTCCTGTGAGCTAGGCAAGGGTGTAATAAACAAATAAAATCAGAATGCCCTGACACTTTTCTTTCCCCTCAAAAATACCCCAGTTTAGTTCTGGAAATTTGATGGTTTCAGTAAAGTCAGCTTTGCTGCCTCACTAGATTTTTACCTAGACCGATCAGCAATCCCCACACAGTGATCTGTAATAACTGCAAGCCCCATCAACAGCTTCTGCTTTCACACCAAAGTATGTTGTTACTCGACAGCCTGTTGCTTACCAGGCTCATTGGACATGGCTGACCAAGTGAGATACATGGTGTAGAGCGTGATAACAGAGGACTGGAGGAGGCCAGAGCGAGGCTGATGTTCCTGTTCAAGGACAGAATAGCAAGCCAAGGTCAAAAGGGCAAGTTCTACCTATAGGTGGATAGTTTCGCCCTACTGCCACAGATTCAACAATTATTAGCGTGAAAAACTTTATTTTTTAGAAGTGCAGTGAGTTTTGTTCTATGTTTAAAAGACCAGAAGAAACTCAGACTAATACAATTTATGCAGTGAGCAACTCAAACATGGAAGGAATAAGCAAACCAAATCCAATTTTTCTGTGCCCAAGACTTGGTTATGGCTTTTTACCGAGTTAATCCCAACTTGTTAACAGTTTTGTAGATATGAATCTAGCATGTGATTTATTTGAGTAATACCAGTTCGGAATTAAGTAACACGCAAGCTTCCTCTCATACTAAACACGCTTACCCATAATTTCAAAGCCACAGTATTAAGCCAATAAATTCCCAGCTTGTTTTGCTTTTCCCTAACGGGTTTCTCTGTTCTGCCAGAACCTTCACCACTAAAACCATGCCAGCAGTGCCCCACACGGAAACAAAGTCCAAAACAATGTTAGCCAAAAAAAGCCTATCTTCAGGAAATATGTCACTACGTAGTGCATTGGTTTCAGAGTAAGATTTTTTTTTTTTTAAAATGCTCCTAGCTAGCATAGCTATGATGATAGCCAAATTTTGAAGTTTTATGTCTGACTGAATTGGTACTACATCCTTCTTACTTCCCTGCTTTGTATGTCAGAAGAAAATAGCAGAGAAAAATAATACCTGAACTTTTGGAAGGGTAGAAACAATGGAGACAGCAATGCACAGGATGATATTAATGCTTATGAAGAACTTGTTCTCAGTGCAGTCATCAGGCTTTGTGTAAAAAACATAGAAAAGCACCACAAAAACCAGCGACAAGGCATAGAACAAGCTTGTACAGGACAGCAGAGCTGGAGGGAAAAAAAAATTAACTGTTACAATACACATGTAGTTTAACAGTACATCTAAGGTGATTTAATGACCAGCTACCACTGTAATGAGACAGTCCCTCTTCCTCACTTGGAAGCCTGGCTCAGAAAACTAGACTAGCAGAACGCATTTCTATTAGGTATGGCTAAATTTCTGCTTTGGCTCACTAAGTAGTGTAGCTCAGAGGGAAGCCGATGGTGCCCTCAGGGGAATAAGACCTGCCTTTCAGCGGCAGTTTAATTGGTTTAACTGATGTCAAGTCACGGTGTCAAAATGAGAGTGCTCTTCGCACACTTCTCATGGGCTATTTATAAGCCCTGAATTCCCCCTTCTATGCTAGAGACCACCCATTTTCATTTCCATTCTGCTACATTCTTTATGAGAAGCTACAAAATGCTGTTGCAGCATCCATAGCTATGAGCGAAGAACCACAACAATTAGCACTTTGTAATTTAGCGGTCAGCTTGGGAGCGTGTGCTGAGGCATGCTTTGTGTTGTACTGCAGCCACTGTCATCGACATAACTGACTTCCTGAGGACCTCGGTAGGGGAGGTGGCAGAGCAAATTTAGAGATCCAGGCTACTAGCTCTGCACTCACACTGCAAACTAGGCAAGCGTTGTTTGTTATGACTG